GGTTAGGGTTTATGAGTAGATAGCTTACTCAGTCACTCCCACTTCAAAACCAAGAAACAGCAAAAAAAGAGCGGGAGGGAGCAGCAGAGACTACACTCCCGCTCATTCCCAACGCCTTTCGGCTCCGAAGATGTCAATTGGTGCCCGTGAACTTACTGTTCTTGGTGAGTTCAAGCCCTTTGGCTTGATTGCCGAAGCTCTTGACGGCAGCCCCTCCGATAATTGTGCGGAGGATTATCGTTACTTCCTGTTCAGTCCAGAATTGACCAAACAAAGAGATGAAGCCGATGAGCTCGATTTGCCGTCGCCGTCTAGTGACCGTAGCGATCATGAGCTCTTCATTAGAGGGAATAGGTATTTTGGTTAAGAAATTATCCCTTAAGGACTTCTAATGTTTTGCTCTTTCAATTCATAGTTGCAAATTTGTTAGCCTTCTTTCTTTAGTTTCTGTTTCTTTACTAAATTGCAATTAAGAAAGTCAAAGTTCCAAATTTTTTGTTTTGTGAATATCAAGATGTAACTTGGCTTTACTTGTTATTGCTCACATGATTACAGGATAATATGGAGCATAGGTTCGCGAGTCTATAAGAGGTTCACATCACCCTCCACAGTAATAAAGGTAACTCTGCAATCATAAAAACTTGCACAAATAGGGTAAAACAGTTCTTTTTGTGTATATCTAAACTTTTCAATCCCCTTAACGTAAGTGAAGCTTCTAGTATAGTGGTAAATGGGTTTTATAATTACTTTAGTTTGCAGATTCAAATCTCCTGTGTGATATTCTTGTACTTTTTTGAATCCCTTGCTAGAATGCCGGGCTACGCTACTGACCCTACCACTAAGCATACACATGTACCTAGCTAAGAATATGGTTTACAAATGATTGACTCAGCATTCATATAAAGGTTTTGCTTATTGTATTGCCTTATTGAGTTTATGTAAGTTTTTTTGTATGCTTTCGTTGCTTGACGTCTTTTTATCCTAAAATGAAATCATGGAAATGCGATGTACTATTAAAATTTAGAACTGAAATAGGTCTACCTAGTCTCATTTATCATTTTTGTCTCTTTCATGATTGATCCAATTTCCATGATTTGTAGCTTGCAGAGTTGTCAAAGGCAAAAAGTTTAGAAAAGCGCTAGGGTCTGTCGGGCTTCAAGCACAAAGTACAAAAAAGCATGGGCAGTCAAGAAATGTGCTAATGATGAGAAATTAAAAATATGTATCTACTATAAGGAAAAAGTTACTACAAACACAAACATTTCTTAGTAGAACAAAAGAATTGGAAAAAAACTGCTAATCAGCTGAAATATATGAAGTAAAAATCACATCGATCATGTAAAAGAACCATTTATACTGAAATTGTAATTTTTATTTGTAATAAGAAAAAATTCATTCATAATGTTTTGTTAAAAATTATCATTTCCATACTAGTATTATTGTTTAGTTGCCACCCTCTTAAAGACGAGTTTATGGATGACGAGGCACATGACTTTGTGATAAAGAGCACCTAAGCAAAGTGAAACGTCCAACTTGGGTTTCACCTAGCTTAAAAAGTTAATAGTGTCTCAAGCGAACCTAAATATCATTGGTCGCTTGGTGAATCTGCAAAACCAGCTCAAGTGGTGGCTGGCTTGATTGAAAT